ATATATATATATATGTATGTATAACTTACCCGAAGGGTAAGCGGCCAAGACACACCGGGCCCTTGGGCTTGGTGTCCGGGTAGCCATTGCAAGCCGAATACTGGCCAAAGGCCGGGGAGAGCTGAAGAGAGTAGCGGGAGATCCTGGGGGCTTAGCTTAGGGTTCAGGGTTTAGGGTTTAGGGTTTAGGGTAGGGTTTAGGGTTTAGGGTTTAGGGTCTAGGGTTTGCTGAAGAGAGTAGCGGGAGATCCTGGGTGCTTGGTAGAGCCACGGTTTAGGCTTGTTTTTTGAAAGGGCATTTTTCCACCATGCCCCCGCAGGTCTCGGTTTAGGGGTGCTTTACACCACCGGTAAAAACCCTAAGCCTCCGATGAAGGCTCACCATCTGCAGTTCTTCATGTTCAAAACTGGAAACGAAAACTGGAATCCAGGGTTGTGCATGTCTGATTTCGCAAGCTGCCGCGACGGGTGGGTTCTGTCTCATACACAAAAAATCGCTAAACCGAAACCCTAGGCCTTAAACCCCGAACCCCCTATCATAAAAACCTAAAGAATGCCCAGGATCAGCGAGTAGTTGTGGTCCGCAAAGGAGCTTTGGTTCGACAAGAGATCGAAGCCTCGGTTCTTCGTCTAAGGAGCTTTCAGGGTTTAGGGTTCGGGGTTCTTGTGTTAGCGTTTAGGGTTTAGGGTTCAGGATTTAGGGCCAGAATACGGATCTAAACTTCGGGAAATCCGTTTAAGTTGCCAGAATAATGGGTTTAGGGTTCAGGCTTTTGCATTATTCCGAATAAGGATCTATGGCAAATACACTGTTGATATGGTTGCCTTCTTACGGTATGTTAAGTTATTTCCTGTAGTCAGAACCCAGAAACAAATGAAGAGAGCGTCACCACGCAAGTCGGCCACGTTCTGATCCTCGATGCTATAATCCTGAGCTTCTGAGCAAGTACCCTAGCCCCAGAAAAGGTGAACCTTCTTTGTCAAAGTAGGAGTTTATCAGCCCCAAAAAAAAGGGTGAAAGGTGAAGTACTCCGCTAGAAAGAGTCTATGGCCGACAGGCCCGGATGAAACACGTAGGCATCCAGAGTCACGGGGCCCACACCACGCCCGTTTTCACAGGGAGGGGCCACATGATCACAAATGTAAGGCTTCTCCAGGAGGCTCGAATCAACTTCAGTGCTCAAGGGATCAAACTGATAGCTTGCGTGCGACTCCTTCATCACACCTCCCGCGCTGCTCTTCATGGAGATGTTCAGCTCAACCGGGATGTCTCCATCTGCACACAAAGTCTCGTTGATGATAGAACTTGAAGCCCGCAATCGCCACTGCGTGCAGCTGCGTCCGGCCACCGTCCTCTGACCGACATACTCGGAGACGGCTGGATCTGACGCCCAGGAAAACATGTCATGGAAGCCTTGTGGCCCAAACATGGGTATGGAACGACACATCGCCTGGCTATGCTGGCTGCCCCCCGTCTCAATCCAGGTGTCGTTTCCAACGCTCAAGGTTGTCATGTTGGTGGTTACTTGCGGGAGCAGGAAGGGTGCCACGATTTCCATCCGACTGGCCTTCAAGTCCACATCCTGTGCGAAGTACCCGCGGCCTGTTGCAGGAACGCCGACACTTGTCGTGACGACAGCCATGGTCGCACCAAACCTGCGAGGGACCTTTGGCCGTGCCGGCTCCTCGGAAGATGCTTCGAAGGAGTTCAGCGACGTGCGCTTCGCCTTCTCCGCAGCGTCAGCTGCCTTCTGGATGGGAAAGAACATGTCGATGGCAAACTGGTCGAGAGGCGAGGACTCTGCCACAGCTAGCAGCTGAAACAAACATCCCATGGCCAAAGATAACCATGGCTGGCTCATGACGCCCACGGACAATGAAGTCCCGTGCTTTTGGAACGTTTCTTGTGACTTGAGCCACTCTTCTTGCAGAATCCGAAATATAGTTCACGTTGGTGGGTTGGTGTTCTCTGGGAGGATGCTTAGCAAGCACATCTAAAGCCACCACGTGTACACTTATCGGAGCAAAACCCTAACCACAATCGTAGCATAAGCATAGGTCTCATCATCATCATCATCATCATCATCATCATCATCATCACCATCATCATCATATCCTGGCACAAATCGCTGATCAAATGGTTAACTGGGGCTTTATGATGTGCTCCCTCTCGCGTGGCCGGTTTGGGTTTGGGGTTGTTGCTGTCTTTGGCCTGGGGGTTTCTGGTTGTTAATGGTTTTCCTCTGGCTCTTCGAAAGTAGAGCTTAAGGCTTAGAGTATGGAGCTGGCAGTAGCTGTCATGACAGCACACGAGGCCTGAGTGAGCCTTCGAAACCAACGGCCCCTGCGGTGAAACGGCTCTAGAAAACACACTAGCTTAAGCTCAATTTCATTCCATCACAGCTTCACAACGAAGCCGAGCAAGAACAAAGCCCAGAGATTTGCCATGGTAGCACCCAACAGCAGTCGCACCATACCTAACCCGTCTCGGAAGTGGCATGCTCCGCCATGCTCCTGACACCTTGGCCACAAGATCGTGGTGGGCTGAACCCTTAACCCTAAACCCTAAACCCTAAACCGTTTAAGCCAGTGGCACGAACTTTCCTCACTTGCCTTGCTGGCCACATTGGGCCTTGCCGACTACTGAGACGTCACACTCCAGGGAAGCACTGACATGTTTGAAAACGCTGCAGCGGAATCAGATGATGATCCTGTAATTCCAGGACCTCCTGCACTGCACCTGCTCGCGCCACACCTGTGCAAACCAAGTGCCCATCAGCTGCTTTTAACTCGTGGGTGTTCGGAAGCACTACGCTTCTGCCGCGCAAAGACGTGATGTAAGTCCTCTCAACAAGCCCGAAACCACACCCCTCATTCCAACCACCCTCTCCGGGCCCAGCACCTTCTGTATCTAGGAATTCCCAGTCTGTCTGCGGCAGGCGCTGGTAGCTCTCCAACTTCGGTCTGGGACGGGGGAGATTCTCGGAGGCTCAGTAACTCAGTAGTCACAGTATTACTTCTCATAACGTAGAGTATACAATGTTCCAAAGAAAGCTTCCTTCCTTATCGTCACCACCACCATTATCTTTTCATGTGTTGGCATCACACTAGCATCGGCGACCTCTAGCACGACGCAGCTCTACTACGACAAGCACACTGACGACTACGACGACGGCGACGTACGGCGACAGCTGATGCTGCACCATCGCCATGACAAAGATATCAAATGCAGGTGCTATCAAGGTATTTCGTACCCGGGCAACAGGCCCCAACACGACAAGGGCAACTGTCGTGGGTCCTCGCGCGAAGAATGAAGATCAGAGAGACGGATGCTGCCAGTATGGTGCCGGCGGCGAGAGCACACCCCACCCTGTGTCCGCTCACAGCACCTGCATCCAACGAGCAGCAAGCAAGTTCATGCCTCGAACTCGTGAGCATGGCCGTGCATGTACAGTCGGGATCCAGACACAGACAGTCCAGACAGACAAACCAAGGAGAAAGCGAGGACTATAGATACAGACAGGGCGCAAAGAGATAGGTGGGAGGGAAGAAAAGAGCCAGAGTGTCTTTTCCATGCTTTTTGTGCCTCTTTGCATCATTGTGTATGTGTGTGTGTGTGTGTGCGTGTGCGGACACGCTTCTGTCTAGCTCGATCCCACTGCGGCAGCCTTCCCCAGGGTTGACCGCAGGCTCCATGCTCCAGAGGCGCGTCGGCGGGGTCTCATCACAAGGGTCGTCAAAAGCATGTGGAGCCTGCCAGGGTCACATAGGACGACGGCCGAACAAAACTCGGGAAAGGCCAGCGCATGCTGTGGGAGAACAGCATGTCGCAAACTATTTCAGTTGCTTGTAACGAATGTGTGTCCTGATATCTTCAGTTCTTCCCTCAACGATTCCACTTTCTGTATCAACTGTTTCCTGTTGTTTAACTGCAGTTATGAATCCATTTCTGTTGTGGTCTCTCTCTCTCTCTCTCTGATCGGAGATCCGTACAAAGTAAGGGGGCTTTGCCTTGTCGGTAGCCATTCGCCGTTCACTCATTCCCCAACGCACCTGGGCCATGCAGACAGCCTGTCTCAGCAAGCTGCGGCTGAAGGATGTGTTACGCCTCTGGGGCTTCTGGAGCTCCAATATCACGCCCTGCAGAACGATGGCCGACACCATGGAAGGGGCTTCAGGCAGCTTTCTGGCCAACTCTCCGTGCCAATAGAGAGACTGCGCCTTGCCGTTCTGCAGACATTCGGCAGAAGCCGGGTGGCAAAGATGGAAGAGCTCCGTCATCTGCTCCCGGAAATCGAGATTAGAGTTCCCTAACAGGAGCTCTGCCGCCACATTCCGGAAGTCTTCTGGCTTCACCGAGTCGGGTAGGCTATCAAGATCCACCTCCAGCTTCCTATCACGACCCTCGCTGGCTTTGGAATAGCATTGCGCCGGGGTGTTGTATCCCAGTCCTCTTACCAGGCCACCACCCCGAAGACCCAAATTATACCAGGCCCCTGCATGATGCGGATCCTTCGTTGCCGAATAGCAGGTGCCACCCCCCCCTCCAAAGAACAAATGTGTTTTCACTCTCAGTGCTGTAGGGGATCGTATCATCCCTAAAAGTGTAACGTATGCTATTCTCCTCCCAAAAATGTAGTTTATACTATTCCCCGTTCCCCCCAGAAGCACAAAGCAGACTAGGATGCCCACAAGTGTAAAGTATACTGGTTCAGCCACGAAGGATCGAGCATCAGGGCCTTCTCGAAGCAGTCTCTTGGGCTGTGATCCCTCCCCTTCACTCGGCCACCTCCCACAGCTCCTTAGGGGCTGAGAAATTCGAGCCCCAAATCGTGCTTTTGGTGGTTAGGGTTTCGGGCTTGCGCTCACAACTCGGACAAGCCAGGTGAGGTCTCTCGGTTCGCAGTCGAACAACGGGAACAAAGCTCAGCATCACCCTACAAAAGGAAAAAGAATTGCAACTATAGTGGGACTACTTAATTAAACATCAAAAGAGTCTAGGGTATAGGGTTCAATTATAGTATACGATTACCTTGAGCCCCCAAAAAGCTTAGTTAAAGGCCACCTACCCAGCCCCCATGGAGGCTCCTAGCTCGTCCCAGGCGTTGGCGTCCTTCGCATCTAGACCCAGGGCCCTCTGAAAGCAGGCCTTTTCGGAATACCACCTCCCCCGTGTTCCTTACTTTTCGACTAAGCCAGGGAAGAAAAAGCTTAATACCTTTGAGATGACGACTAAATTTGACCATAAATTCCAAGGACAGAAAAAGTTTAAAGGCTTGGGTGTTGGAGAGCTGAGGTTCGGCCGCCGCCGATGACCCCCAAGTTGTACCAGAAGGCGGCGATGGTTGGGTCCAGCTCCAAAGCTCGAAGTTCGCAGTCCTTCGGAGAGAAATGCCGGGAGTTGACGATGCCCCCTCCGTAGAATCCCAGCTCGCCCCAAGCCCTGGCATCCTTCGGGTGGCCTTCGAGGCGGTCGACACAGTCAGGTCTGCTCCAACAGAGCGAAGGCGAAGAGTGCGAGGTGTGAGACAGCGAGAGGAGCAGGATTCCAGACGAAATCAGGCGCGGCATCACTCGACACCCGAGGAAAACGCTCGAGCCCAGGGCTCAAAACACATCTCAAGGGTTTTGCGATTAAAGCTCCTGTGCGACGACAGTGCCGCTACAACTAGCTCTAAGGTTGGTCAGACCGTGCTGTGCATGTGCACATGCGAGCTTTGCAGCGAAAACACAGCAATGGCCATGTCGGGGTCAAAAAAATGAAATGTCCCGTTAGGCTTCGTTGGACGGCCGGCGGGCCTCAGAAACCCATAGAGTGGCTCAGAGCATAAATAACAGTAGTAGAGTATGCACATAATAGGTATGTAATGGCTGTACAGTACTAACTTTTACACACATAACATAGTAACGTATAAAATAATATTCAGCAAACGGCTGCTTGTGAGTGGAGGCTCCACTCACGAATCACGACCAGCAAAGTTAACATCTTTATATCTGAGCATCTGTTGCCTGGCACCTCTTGCGTTCGCTTTGTCCTGGAAGCAAGACCACGATGCTCAAGTTTAGCTAGGTCACGGACGGAGATACTACAACCACAAGACCAATCGACAGAGGAGTCAGAGCCGCCTGCGTCACGTGGATCTCCATATAGGGGGTGGCGAGGATCCGAAAAAGTGGGCTCGAACTGATGAGTGGTAGCTGGAGGCTCGAACCGTGCGAGCAGTCAGTGCTCAAACCCATGCCGAAGCTTCAAGCACTCGTTGGCATGTAACCCGGCCTCTACACCCCGAAGCCGACTTCCGCAGCAGTGAAAGGCTGACAGCTCAGAAACCTGACTCCTTTCAAAGCTGATGGCTGTGTCACAGTTTTACTTCGCATAATTACAGGCTTGGACCTTATAAGCCTTCAGAAAAAGCCCACTTGCAGGCTGCCATGATGTCATGTTTGGGGTTGAGCAAGCAGCAGCGGCAGCCGCCGTCGTTGTTGCTGCTATGCTGTCGCCAGTCTGGCTGCTCTGATCGCTAAACCCTAAACTTACCCTAAGCCTAAACCCTATAAACCCTAGACCCCTTTTGCAGCAGGCTTCTCTCGCCCGGAACTGCCGTAAGACCCTAAACCTAAACCCTAAACCGTCCGAACCTGGCGCAAGCCCAAAGCCACCGAAGTCGGAAGCTCATGTTCATGATGAGCATAGGGTCCGCACCAACAACTAAGTGCGGTGGAGAAAATGGAGGAATAGCAATGACACGGTAAACATGGTTGGTTGTGGTATACTGGTATACTAGCGAAGGCAGTGGTATCGTAGGTATGGTTGTTGCCGGTGGTGATGCAGACAGCTGCAAGAGTGATTCATTATCTCTGCCACCTGATGCGAACTACTGGTGCTAGTACTACTCCAGTGGGCAGTCATGTCGCTCGCCGTCGCAATGGCCGACTGCAGTGCTGCTCAACTCGCATAGACACCATGTTGCTGCACCGAAAGAACCTACGAAGCACATGTATGTTGTCCTCGCCTTGATCCTTCGAAGGGATACATGCAGCTGCATCCAGGGCATGTTCGATCATGGACCCTTCCTGGCGAGCATGGCGAGAAAGCAACAGCCACCGATCTGCTCGTGCTGAGATCATGCACTTCTCGCCAAGCGATGCCTACTGCTGCGGCAACATGCTAGCTGACGGTGCGAAATCGCGACACAAGCAAAGAGCTTCGGACATGCGGAAAGAATCTGGAGAAACCAACGTCGAAGAGTACATAATCTCGGGGCCCCAATTGGTGCTTTACTGGAGTTATTGGGGCATATTGGGGTGTATTCTACCATAACTTGCTTAAGACACCCCAAGCAATAAGATTAAGGAACCCCCAAAACCCTATTCTAATTATTAAGGCCCCTACATTAGTGGGAGACTCATGACCTGCTCTCTGTGGCTTCACTGCAGTTGCTCTGCTCTTCAGGTGCGTTGGCTAGGCTTGCTTCAGCTACCGGGGATACGTCAGCAAGACTTGCTCCTCCTTTTTTTGAACCCAGAGCTTTCTCCAATCAGCCGGAAGCCATGCCCAGGGTGAATTGCTCCTCCCTAAACCCTGAACCCTAAACTCTAAACCCTTTTTTGCATCCGGGCTTGGGAAGTCGGCCGGGGAAAGACAAGACTGAACCCTAAACTCTATACCCTAAATCCTTTTGGACCCTGAGCATCCCCAGGTGCGCGGTTGGTGAAACTTCCGAGATCACACGCTTGCACGCGCGAGAGCGTTCGATTGAACACGGAGAAGCAGAGCTAACAGGCAATCAAACACATTCATACGAAGGGCGCTCTAAGCCAACACCCAAGCAGCTCTGCGTTAGATCTTTCTTGAGCACTGCCTCATGCATGACATGTACTAATTGTTCTGCATATCGCAACACTGGCCCAGGAAGACAGGTGTGTCCTGGTATGAACTTGTTTTCGCAACCTTTCGAATGACCACAACCAAGAGTGGAACAGCAATCGCCTGTATGCTTCCCAGGGAGGTCAATTATCGTGGCATCGGGACTGGTGGCTCCCAGGAGATTTCTCCGCTCGTCTTTCCAGGTTGCATTCTGTTCTTGCTTGTTGTTTAAGCTTCCAACCACGAATACATGCGCCCGCCAGTTCGCCCTTCTGACCAGATCGGCTGGGTGCGACGGTTTCATTGAGCCGTCGATGTCTTGGTCGTTCGATATCAGTGCCAATGTGATGTTGCTGGTGTTGGAATGCGCGATGACTGAGTTCGCCCGAATGTCCGGAGAAGGCATTACAAGGTCCCACTGGTGGTTGCAAATGACCGTATGCACCAACTCTGCCAACATGGAGTTGCCAAACCCTATAATTTGCGTTCCTGGAGGTAGCCGAAAAAGGTCAAAGCTCGCATTCCACGATCTCGTCTTGTTGAGCTCACGGGCATAGCCGATCCCATTGCAGGACCAGCTATCCCTCGCCGTCCCACATCTTCGGTGTCCCGCCTTATCGATGACTGCATCTACTTCGGCCCAGGCTTTTGCACCGCCATATCTGCTTGGCTTCCAATGTTCGGTCCAAAGCTTCTCTGCCCAGTTGGGCGTCTGCCACTTCAATGCCGCAATAAGAGCATCAAGTGACGGCGATGGCACAGGCCCACTTGGAACGGGCCCAGCTGGCACGGGCCCAGTTGCCACATCGTTACTTTGGATGTGCATAGTGTCAAGGCTTTCTGGGAGGGGATTTGGGGGGAGGGTGTCGGCAGGTACAGGTATGACCCACGGATTATTAATATGTTCCTCCTCCGGAGTTTGGTTGAACGACATCCACAATCGGACCTGTATTGTATCACCCTGCGCAGGTGACATGATCCAGCAAGCACAGGAAACGATTGCAACACTCAGGCAAAGGGTAACTTTTCGTCCAAGGTTTTTCGATGGAACGCCGAGTTGTTGAGGGCTTCCTGGCTCAGGCATAGGTGATGGCGATCACCGATTTGTAGGTGCCTGGATGCGAGCACCCACTTGCTTGTGCAAACGGCTACATGGAACAAATTGGGCGAAGGGCACCGGCCCTCCTTGCACTACCTGTCATTAGCTTCTTGCTAACTGTGTCGGTTCAATGCATGGGCCTGGGCACTTAGTGCGAAGAAGCTCCGCTCACGATATGTCTGTTCTGCTTTCAAAGCCTCTGCGCTGCCAATAGCTTGAACCAAGTGCGCCGCAATAGTGCAAGCAATAAGCTGAACGTCAACTCAAACCTCCAAGATCCGAACCCAAGCGGTCGCTTTGGGCGTTTCATGTGCGCAGTGCTTGGTTTTAGGGCTAATGCCGGCAGTGCAGTGCCGATGCCTCAAAGACCGTTACCAGAGTAACGACATGATCAGATAGCTATATACAAGTGTACAGCACTTGCTATGTGACGGTGCGTTCTGCACGCTGCTTTAACCATGCCTGTCTGACTACTCGCTGGTCGCGCGCGCTCTCTCTCTCTCTCTCTCGCTCTCTCTCCCTCTCTCTCTCCTCTTTCCCGCTCAGCAGGAGCAGGAGCCGGAGCAGGAGCAGCAGCAGTAGCAGGAGCAGGAGCAGGAGCAGGAGCAGGAGCAGGAGCAGGAGCAGGAGCAGGAGATGTTGCATTTCCGAGCTACCTCCCTGCACTTCATATAAGCCCTTTTCTGCTCAGCGTGCATTTCACCTCACCCGTTACCTTTCCGACGACGCCTAGTGCTCCCATGTAGCTCGTAATTACAGTATACTAACTATACTAGTCGGCATTGGTATGATAACTGGGGAGGTGCAGTAATCGAGTGGTGTCCTGGCACGTCGAACTGGATATCATCTGAAAAGTTTTCTGCCGGAAGAAAAACTCGTCAGGTAACGAGTGCTACCACTATGCGTGCCCTGAGAGTTCAGGTTTGGCAGTGCTCGCGGAATGAGCGCCACTTTCCTGCGCCACCCACCAAAGACTGAAGCAGAAAGCACGTTTCTGACTGGGTCAAGTCACTTTAGACGTATCCAAGCGGCCAAGCACCACCCCAGCCCATGCACGAAGCCATGACATCCCCTCTTTTTGTTGCGAGAAGAGCTCCCGAAAACTTCGATGTACGCATCGGCTTCTTCGGCCGCGAAGGGGTCCTACGCGAAACCCTAAACCCTCCAACGTCTGCAGCGTCGTCAGTCAGCTTCCTCCTGCTCCATCCTCGCACGGGCTCCAGGTATTCTCGTTTGCAAGAGAAGCGCGTCCCTAACATGTTTTTCCCTCCTACGTAGCAAGACCGAGCCCGCATTGCAGGAAATGTTTCGGACACTACGGCCCTAAACCCTGAGATGTTTAGGAAGTTTAGGGCCTAAGCTTCGGCCTGAGGATGGTCTTGAAGACGATAGCGGTATCGATTAGGCTTCAAGATCTTCGTGGACAACACTTGAAGGACTGAGGCTCCGGCACGTGGTGCTGTGTCCTGAGAAAAAGAGCTGTTCATCCAAGTGTCGTTACTTACTGTTGATGATTGTTCATAACTCATCTACCACACTTCTCACGAAACTCCAAGGTCATGCAAGCTTGTGTCCATCAGCCGTACCCTGGATATACCCATAGCCGCCTTAATGAGTTGCCTTGCCATCGCCTACCCTACTTGAAAGTCACAGCAACCCTGCAGAGCCCTATGAAGCCTTTGACCCTTTAAATGTTCCCTCGCAGTTCCCTTCATTGAAACAAACACTTCAGTGGTGAGCGGTTAAAGGGTGCAACTGGCACCATCTTAGCTGCCGTCCCCTCAGAAATTCGAACTTAAAAACCTTGGGCGCTACGACCTTTACTCCAACCCGGAAGGAGCAACTCAGACAACCCTAGAACTGAACTGCAAAGCAACGCACTGAGGACCGGAGAACCTAAGACCTAACACATCCTAAAGCCTATATAGGGCACCTAGCCGACCCTTCTCCATCAGCTCTTGCCCAAGAAAACCGGAGCCCTACCCTAAACCCTAAACCCTAAACCCTAAACCGCAACAGAAAGAAGAGGACGCGGCAGCTGCCACAGCGGCTGCATGGAAGGATCTTGGGCTTCTGGCCTGGGAGGAAGAAGAGGCAGAATCCACCAGTTCCCAGTTCCCAGCCTAGGGTTTAGGGTTTAGAAATTCCCAGGTTTCAGGGTTTTAGGGTTTAGGGTCTTGAAATTCCTAGGGTTCAGGATTGAGGGGTTTAGGGTTTAGGGTTTCCCAGGGTTCAGGGTTGAGGGGTTTAGAGTTTTTGGTGCAGGAGCCCTCGTACTTCAGCAGGATTCCGCTGTTTGGGGCTATTTGGGGGCGCCTGTTGCCCAAACTCAAACGTGCCATAGGGGCGGCTCGACCTGACATTAAGTATGCACATCCTACGTATTATGAACTTCAGGGTTTCGGGTTCAGGGTATAACCTCCTTCCTGCTCACTTGAGACTGGTATGCACATTCACGAAACTCACCGGCTTAGACATCTTGAAGTAAACATGTTCACCAATGGCCAGTGTTCTCAGTACCAGCACGGCTATCCGGAACTAGCAATGTAGGGGCTTCGTAATCAGAATAGGGCTTGGGGGTACACTGCACTATCCTTCTATAGGAGGAATGCTACGAACCCCACAGGGCCAGACCAGCCAGCCTGACCCCTCGAAACATCGAGCCTCAAGTACAGCTAAAGGATCTTCGAGTCTCTGTAACCCCCGAGAAGTGCATTCTTCTTGAGAACAAAGCCACCATCAACAACTCCCCTGTGCCCTGTGCCCTACATGGCGCAGGCCTACACCTCCAAATCAGAACCTGAAACCTAGCTCCCCCCAACTCCCGCGCCTTAGAAGATCCCCACAGCACCAACCCTAAGGCCACGTCTTACATCTGGGTTCGAACGGATGAGAGAAACAAGAGACAAAAATGCAAGCCCTTAAGATCCTTAAGCCCTAAACCCCTGCCTAAACCCTAACCCCTCTAAGCCCTAAACCCTACAAGCGCGAAACCCGAGAAACGCCAGAAACGCCATAAACCCCCTTAGTTTCATGGCCGGCCTGGCGCGCTGCAGCTGTGCAATGTGTGGAGCCACCTCCAAGCAACGCTTGGCGCATCGATGCGGCGTTGGGTGTAGGGCAGAGTTCAGGGCTTTCCTAGAACCCCCCAACTACCCTCTAATATACCCTAGATACCCACGATCCAGGACCACAAGGGCTCTATAACATTCTATAACAGGGTACTTGGGGGGGGTGGTGCCCGGCTGGGCTCTGGGTTTAGGGTAAGTAATTCCCGGCAGGTCTTCCACTTGACTTCTTGAGTCGAAGCTGCGGGGATTTCCAACCCCCAAGACTCCAAAACCCTGTGCACAATCACTGAAAGTACTTTGTGCTTCCTTCTTTCGGTGTTGGATATCCTTTAACGTAGGACCTTATATCAACACTATAGAACTCTTCTGAAACAACATGGCATCCAACAAAAAACACCTTAGTGACGGGGTTCTGGGGACTCTGGGACCTAAATCCTACACCTCGTAGCCTCTGGCCATAAACGCTGTCTCTCTAGCGCGCTCCGTCGCTAAAGGCCTCCTCCTGGCAAAGCCCTAAACCCAGAGCCCTAACAAAATCATGAAAATCCTAAACATCCTACGCCCTGCGACCCTGAACCCTAAACAGGCTATTCGGTGATTGTTCGTCGCCTGCGGGCCCAGTCGCTCGTCCACCAGCCGGAGGAAACGATCTCCGGCTTCGCCCTGAAGCGCCTCCAGGTTTTTTTCCCACCCGCCTAGCTGCCTCCAGGTTTTAGGGTTTAGGGTGCCCTAAACCCTAAACCCTACAGTAAACCCTAGGGTTTAGGGTTGGACTGTCGCTGCTCGGACACTGCCGGTTTTGAGGGCTCGAGGCTTCCATAAAGAGTTTCGACTTGGTACATTTCTCGATTTGCAGGATTCAGGGTTAAGGGCTTAAGGTTTTCGATCTCAGGTGGACTAACGAGGGTATGCATGCATGTGTATACAGAAAACATCACTAGACATGGTGGGAGATCACAGATGCTCTAGAGAAATGCGTGCAGCTCAAACAAGCTCAACCGGTATCGCTACCGGCCCCCAAACGTACAAAACAAGGAATTCGTGTCACACGTGTCATGCCGCCAAAGTGTCTTGGCCACCCAAGTTAGCCAAACTAAATACCAAAAGTTATGAGTTTCAGGTCTTCCGCTTTAGAACCCTGGGGTTCGGGATCTTGCCTTAAGCCTGGATGCCTGCGAAATGCTACTCATGCAACCGCATGCGTAGGGTGTGTGCGCAAGGTATCTGCATGCCTGCATCCTAGACCGCATCCTCCGCCCCAGAATGCGACGTGCAGTGGCCCTTACTATATCAGGTCCAGCAGTACAACGAAGTCCAATGCCTTTGCGAGATATCCCCCGCTTTCAACGCAGCTTTTCTCCTCTGTGCAATGCTTGACATCATCCACCTGGGTAGTTGTTTGAATATCAGCAGCTCGAGCTAAGAGAGGCAAGCATCTGCCTACTGTCTCTATCTGTCTCTTTCTTTCTCCCCCTTTCTTGCTCTGAAAATGCTTCTTCGCTGTAGTACATATTTGAACTCAAGACTCATCGCATCGTCCAGGATGCACACACACACAGAAAACAAGATGTTTACAACATAATATAATATGCTTGTATCTGGACGTGACCCTCTGTACGCACTTGGGTGTGTGTGTGTGTGAGTGCCTACAGCTTAACATTTGCGGAGAGAAATAGAAAGGGATAGAGAGAGAGAGAGAGGGATCGACAGATTTCTTTCAGTTTGCGATCCCGTGTTTTGGGTCCTTCTAAAACGGCCCTGCCTGTTTTAGGGGTGGGGGGGGGTTATATATTTATCACCCCACTAAGGTACTTGGAGCCCTACTTACTAAGTCTCAACCTAAACCCCTATTTCACATACTTTCGGGGTCCCGGTAGACCCTGAGTCGGGGCGTTGTAGCACAGGGCAGCGCTG